TCAGTACGTAACTTTTTACTGACACGATGCAACTTGGCAACATTCTTACAGATGAAAGCAATTAATACTGCAGATTCCTAAAAATGCTGTTCTTTTTTGCAGTTAGCAAGAAGCATAGGGTTTCTCACCATGATAAATTTCATCTAAATGTAACAATCAAAGCATTTTATCAGACTGCAAAAATGGGGTTTCGGCCACTTTGGAATATATCACAAATGAGTAACTTCTCCAATCTTCCTCAGAGGTAATGTACAAAACACATATGAATGTTTAGGAAGCAGATGGTCTTTCAAGAAAATCTACTTTAAAAAGAATGAAAACATACCAATTGACATAAATAACCAATGGTAAATGTTATTGTTTTGAACAGAATGTTTCCTGTGAAATAGACTATGCGTAAACCATTAATTCTGCCGTCATTCCAGCCAGCTTGGGGAGGAACTGCAGACTGCTCTTAACATATATATATATATATACACATATATATGTATATGTATATATATATTTATATGATCCCTGTCATAAAACATCCTGAACAAGAACATGATTTCTCATTTACATAGGCTCTTCCTGCCAGGGATGAAGATGAACATAATCTCAAAGCTCCTTACAAGTATTATCTAACTAAGCCTACAAGGGCAGCTACGGGTTATTAGATTCTCTGTATATGTGGACAGATGAGACAAGCAAGTTTATATCTCAAGAGATCACTGGGAGTTAGTAAGCTGCTATGAATACCACCCTGGGGCCTTGACTCCCTTATTTTTGCTCTCACAGATGGATGATTAAACTATTATATTGTGGAAAATTCATCTAAGAGCAGAAATATGAGAATTATGAACCTGCACAGATGTTCAGAAAGTTACAGAAAGGTTCTCATTAATAACACTTAATAATATAGGTGATGAGCAGAAAGGAAATTTACATAGTTGTGACCTCTTCTCCCACTTCACGTCTCTTGTACTGTGATAGCATAGTTTACCACTGACAATTACAAACCAGCTCTGAAGGGATGTTCTCCCTATGCTTAGGAATATACAGATTTTAATAATATGATTCATTCAATTTCTTGATGTTAGCAGTTAAATATCTTCATTATAATCCTTTTCTATCAGAGTTAAAACATTCCACAAAGCAGCTAAGTACCCTCAACTCCATGCTACAGCTGGGAACAGTGAGTCAATGAAGCAAAATGACTTAATGACCACCTTCAGCCACTGCCTGTGCTGGGAATGAACCAAAGGAAGCTTAAGATAGAAGATATAAAAATGTAAGTAAACTTTACCCATCCATGTCCTCTGTGGTACTAAGGATCTTTTCAAACAAAGATGATTGAATGTATGTAAAAAAAATGAATGAATAAAGGACAAAAAAATAAAAATTTAAATGAGAAAAAGAGAGAGAAATGTTGGTAAACTCTAGGTTCAGAGGAAGAGTGTGTGATGGTGAGTCTTCCAGCAATTATAGGAATAAGGACTGATGCTGGACTTGATGCATACAGACTAACATGGGGAGTGGGCATGAGAAATGAAATGAGAAGAAAGTGTCTATCAGCTGCCAATTAAAATCTCAAAGGGCTTTGAACATAACAGGCTATTCCAGCTGCTCCACAGGCTTCACCTGAACAGTGTACACCACTTTTTTCTTTTATTCCTCTCCTTCTCCTCAAAGTTATGCTTGTTTTCCATTCACAGATTCTTTCACTCCAGTATCATCGAATTTAATGTGCCATTAGTGTGGCACATTAAAATTCCATACTCAATCTTTTCACTTGATTGTGTTATTCCAGTGTGTGTTATACTTTTTACAGTCTCTGTATCTCATAGGTTTTTAGGCCTTTTATCTGTGTTTTTTTAAGTATACAGATACTTGGGTTGCTACTTTGCAGGTGTTTAGATACACTAGGAACATAAATCATACAACAATCATCAAGTAGTAGGTACTTAAATCTTTTCAGTTTCTTTGACAATCTTAATCTTCAAACGTCCTGAACTGGTCAACACATGCTGCTCTCTTGTTTTAAGCATGAAATGCCACACTTTCTCAAACTCAATATGCACACAGTGAATAGAAAGCAATCATCTCAACCTTTTGAAAAGCAAGGTAGTAAATTTAAGGGATTGCTCCCACTCTTTTGTATTGAAACCAAAGATATTAGAGCTTTTTCTAAAGCTTTCCTTCCATTAAGGTCTGCCTAAACAATCTAAAAGAGAATACACAAAAAGTAAATGGAAGTCACTATCAGCCTCTGCCACAGAAATACAATGCTACAGTTCTGGAAGAAAGGAAAATATATACTGAGATAGGAAATACATGTATTTACTTGCACTCATAATTCAATCACACCTGTGGGGAAAGAACAACAATCATGGTTGCAAAAAGACAAGATCTCAGGGAAACTGCTGACAATCAACTTGCCTTTGCAAAAAAGTCCTTTAAATTCTCACCAGATTTGGGTTACTCTCATCAGCATGCTCCTAGGACTCTTCTGATGGAAATGATTACTGAGAGACTCTCTAATGAACGTTGAGTCTTATGGTACCTTAGCTTTTGACTTGATTCATTCTAAGCCTCAACACTGAGTATTCCTTTGCTCCACACTGTCACAGATCCTAAGTATAAAGGCTTTTCTATGGTCAAGGCAGGAATGAACAGGTACAGAAGATTTCCATATAGAAATAAGAAAAACCATACAAAAAAGAACCTGTGATTTCATGAAGAAGTGTCCCTCCACAGCTAAATCCACAGAAAGGCTGATATGGAAACAACTGACAATAAATCAGAATTGATCTCTCACTCAAATAATATAAAGACAAGAACATCTTTTGAAGCTTTTAAAAATCCTTCTGAGATATAACATATTTTTGCTGCAATAATAAAAAGTCAGGCTGTCAAAATAATTGAATGCTACTAGTTCCATGGTAGTTTTGCTCTGACAAATATCTTCTATTTGAAGTTCTTCTGTAGACTCCTGGGCATGTGTTCTTGCATATTGCTGAATTTCTGCTCTCAGTCTCTGCCCCTCTCTTTCTCGCTCTCTCTCTCTCTCAGACTAAAAGACTCAATTGCACAACTAGATTTTAACTCACAGTAGTACTATACAGCCAATAGTTTTCTACCCATTTAGGATGATACTCCCTTTTATTTCTGAGAATACGTTCTGCATTTGACATCCAAAGAGTAAAGCTTTTCTATATTAATCACCTAATTACAAATTAGCAAATTAGGTATCAAAATGATGAGTACTACATCAATTCAGTCATTTTAGTTATCTTCCAACTTAGACTTTTTTTCACATTTCTTTGCCTTCAGGTCTTTTTTTAGTGCTATGTTACCTCCACACATCTGGATAGCAGCCCATTGTGGTCATTGCACTCCACATATTGAAGTCAACCTTCCATATCTACATGAAATGCACATTATAAAAAAAAGTAGTAATGTGTACTAACATATCCTAGTTTTCATTTGAGGCCTCAAACATTCTGCGTGATAATTATGCCAATTTTACTGTGTTTTGATTTCATTTTCAAAATGATTATGTGATTTATACAAAGTCATTTGGGAAGTGTATATCAAAAGGGAACTGAACAAGCTGACCCATGCCCCAGACATCAGATGTCTGCTGAGGATAACACGGCACTGCCAGGAGACTTGTATTTTTCCATAGTGGCAGTTGAAGAAACACAGCAGAATACTCCCAAATAATCTCAAACAGAATTGGATTCTAGTTTTATGTACTCATCCATAAACTCATGTACGTAGTACTTATAAAGCTGAATTTCTTCCTAGGCCTCCTGTTCCAATTCTGCATATTTATTAAAACAGCAGCACTATTTCCAAAATGATCTTAATTTTTCATCATTCAGCTAGGACTCAGACCTATTTGCAGTAAAAAACTTCTAGAAATTAAGTACAGTGGACTGAGGAATAGCCTTTTCTGGTCATGACAATACAGGAGGGTACATAGCCAATTTGAAGTCTTCTGAGACATTTTCTGGCAATGGATGGTTTTCAATTATATTAGCTTTATGCAGTTCAAATGCTTTTTTTCCTTCTTTGGAAATCCCAACAGATATGCAGCTTTTGGCCGCATGTCCAGAATAATCATGCCAAAGTAGACTCTGAAGCTCAGGTTGAGCTATTTAAGAAGATAAGTTCCTTATTTTTTTTTTCCATTTAAGCTGGTATAATTCAGGTTAATCAAAATAAAACACATAAATGAACAGTCAAATGAAAATATCATAAACATTAATTCTGTATGGAATTTGCCCTTTTCAACTCTGCTTAATACAGGAACCATTGACAATATGTAGTATTAGCATTTAAACCAGATGACCAGTATAGGGACTATTTGTAGATTGTGTTCCAATCAAAACCTAACTGTTCAATTCAGAGTTTCAACTACTTTTTTCCCTCTGCATAAACAAATTCTTCGTAGCCTTTTCAGTCCAAGACATTTTATATTAGTGACCATATGGAACCATTCTGTCGTCTAATCCTAGTTGGTCCTTGTTCTACGAGCTACCACCGATAGCTTAGCCTTTACTTTGTACAACATAACATCAGCTGTTTCTCAAATTATCTTCTCTAGAGGTTTCTACTTTACTTATCTCATATTCTTAAGACAGTTATACCTTACATCTTTCTATATTTAGATAATTTATAATTACAGTTAGCTTCCTTAGTAAAACAAGTCAGTTATATCAATGGCACATTAATTGAAAATAAAATATATGAATTGTGCAGTCTTAATTATTACATTCCTAGTACTGTTATGGTACTGTATCATCACTGTATATGTGAAAACAACTTGCAGGACTCTTCCCTAGTAGAATAAAATTAACCTTCAACATTTAAGCATGTGAGAAATTTGAAAATATTTCTTTTATGGTAAATTTCTTCTGTGGTGTAGTGGTAACTCAGTCTCAGAAAATATTTTATCCTGTGTAATAGAATTTATATTATTTAGAGGAAAACAAAAGAGAAAAGCTTATCTTTACCCTCCGGACATCTTTGCCAAATGTTTCACTGTAGCTAGTGCCCAGTATTTCAAATTGAACATAGGGGTTGGCGCCATCTTCTCTGAACTCCATAACACCAGTAAGCCCAGTTATATGGCCCTAAGGAAACAATTTTCAAATTTTCAAAACTTTTTGCCTTTACAAACACTCATTCTTATTAAAGATACAACAAATCCACTCTGAAAATGTTTACAGCAAACTTAAACGTAGCAACTACATGTTCTTCAACAGCCATTTTTGAGGAAATGGCTCCAACACTAATATATCCACTGTAAATTGTATTAGGAAGTCATCAGATCTTTATCTTCACAGAAACAGACCCTAGAAAACAGGACTGTGGTGGAACATGAGACATCCTGTAACTGAAAGCAGTCAGTTGAGTACTGGAGTTGAATTCAAAGGCATGAACTCGAAGTCCAGCAGAAAATGTGATACTTGCTGTGCTTACAGGAGAGGCTGAAGAAAAGATGAAATTTGAAGAACTTTTAAAACCTCCCTGTAAAGTATGGCCAAATTTGTTCTGCATTTGCAGCAAATGCCAATTGAGATGAAACTAAATTCTGAGTTAATTTAGTAACAGAAGATCACATTTCTTAAGAATGACAGAGCAATACACAGCACTAGAGCAAAAACATTTTGTCAATATACATGGACTACTTCGAAAGTAATGCCAGCTATATTATTATGTCAGCCCATGTCACAGGTGCCTGTTGGTGGCATGGCAGTGGAGGCTGAACCTTCCCACCAAGCTTCCATTACATTTTGCATTACATTTTGTTGCCACGTGACAGATGGCAGCAGAGGAGCAGTCTGAAAGAACAGCAGATGACATGGAAGTGCACATGAAGCAAAGAGGTAGAAATGAACTTTTCCATGTGGAAAAAATAGCACCCGTTGACATTCACTGATATTTGCTGAATTTTAGGGAGACCAAACAGTGGATGTGAACAGAGAGATGTAGTGGGTGGTGGTACATATTAGCAGTGGCAGCAGCAGGTCACCTCTGCTGGTGCAGATTTCTTCAAGCATGATATGCAGGCTTTTGTTCCTCACTGGCAAAAAAATGTACAGCTAATGATGGTGACTATGTTGAGAAAGACCATTCTGTAGCTGAGAATTTGCTCTATCAAATAGTGTTATTGTGCTTTGTATCTGTTGTAATTTCTATGGAAACAAGCAGGAGGCAGTACTTTCAGAGCAACCACTGCTTTATATAAAACAGGTTGCTTTTACAAATACATGCTAACGTTGTTAAAGTATGAGCACTTTTTCAACTGGTATTTGTGATCAAATATCTTTTGTATAAGAGGCTGTCATGCATCTGTAAAACCACAGTACTGTTCATATTTGATTAATTCAACATATTGCAAGACAGTTTAAACAACTTAGCTAAATCACACTGCATTTGCTCTGGGCTACACCACAAAAAGAGATATTTAACAATGCTCAACTAACTTATGCAGCTAGTTGAGCAGCAGTAATTGGAACCTAAACTGTAAACCTTGCTGACTGGCCCCTCGAGCTCCTTAAGCTTTCTTGACAAAAGGATTACAACAAATGAACACATCTATCTATGTGACTGCTTCTAATCACATGACCTCCACAAGAGGTAGCTACGATAGCAACAGACATAGAACACACATCAGTGGAGTAATGCTTGTGTGTGTGTAATTTGCAGTAAATCATTTGCTTTATTAACAATAGATCATTTACTGTAGCTGTAAATCACTTGCTTCTAATAGAAGTTAAACAGAGGTCAAAAGCCTCTTCAAAAGCTAAGGAGAACTGAACTCAAGGAGAACTGAAACAACTCAATCTTGCAGACAATTGTGGTTTGTCTACTCTCACCTTCTTAATAGTCTCAAGCATGGATCGTCCTCCGTTCCAAGGCTTGGTGGATTTCCTCATGCAATTCAGACTTGCCATGCTGTGCCATTTCCTGTCCTCCAGTTTTCTGTGGAAAGCATTGGCTAGCATGAGCACACTGTCATACAGGTACAGGTTGGAAACCTGCAAACAATAATAACAATGAGCCTCTTTGTTTATTAATGCATCTTTCCAAAGAAACTATAAAAACAAGAAAACAAAATTTTTTTTTTTTTAAAAAAAAAGAAGCAAACAGCAAAAAAAAAAGAAGACATATGTAAAAACCAAAAGCTAAGCACATTTGAGATGTTCAACAGTTAAGGTAATTCAAACACCGGTATTTGCTCCCATCTTCTTCCTTCCAGCTTAGCAACTGGGCTTTTCTGGCCAAGGGATTCTGATGCACTGCCTTACCTGCACATTACCTACAGTACTGCAGTGCAGTGAAGATGTAAAAGATTGCAACCCAAATATAAAATCAAGCTACAGAAAGAGTACAGCTATCTATCAGTAGAAGTGGAAGTCAAGGATTGCTACCCTGTCAGTCATTTCAGCAAGAAGAAAAAGATGGAACAGAATTAAGCTCTTAGTTTTGTTCATTTGAGCAATCTTGGTAATTTCTAGCACAGCAAAATACAATACTAACGCGTCTACTTAGCATACAGGGAGAAGAAACAGCAGTATTATTTTTGTCTCATCATCTCTCTCCACCAAATACAAATGAAACTGGTCATTGTTCTACTTTCTTGGGAGATATTTATGTCAGCCTTCTTATCCTCCTTCTGAGAGGTAACAGCAGTAATTGATGACAAAGGCTCTAATAAGAACTACACACTAGCGGCATTCAAATGTTGCTTTTTCAAAGTTTCTTCTTCCAAACCAAGACATAGCTGCTGATACAAAATCAATGGTGACGTGTGGCAGTATCACTAAGTGGTAAAATTAGTGGTAAAACGTTAGCAGTGGCAGTTACCTAGAAGTAATTTGAAAAAAATAACTAGATACTCTCTTCAATCATCTTAATTCCTCTTCAAACCTATGCACAGATTCAGGGGTCTTGATTTTCTCTTTATTAAGCTCAAATGAGCAGTTAGCACAAGGTGCCAAATCCACGATTTAATTATTTATTACACTAGAAAGATATTCACTGAGCTGAAGGCTTTAGCCATGGTGACTTATTTATCATTTGATTTTTGTAATTCACCACAGAAGGTGGTGCCTAGAGATGAGTAGAAGGCTACATGTGAAATTTAATGCAATGGCATAATTCCTAAGAAACGTCACTCGTCTGTAAAGCTTAAACATATAATGCTGTTGCAACACTGTCTACAACACACTTCTAATATCTTAAGATCTTAAGGTTAAGAAATAAAATGTTCCATATTCCATAATCTGGTGTTCAACATAAATTGAAAGCCTAGTCATTTTGAAAAGTTTTCTGGTGGATGTTAATCTGATCAAAATATGCAAAAATATATATGTAAACAAATATGTAAATTTCTAAACAAATATATCAAAACATATGTAAACAAAAATTACTCTTTGAACAGTTTAAATAGGAAGAAAATAAAACACTAAATACTAAGGATACTCCCATATTTAAGTGACTAAACACAAGCAAGGATCTTAATGCAAACCCTAATAAATACTATCACTGAGCATGTCTCCCATTTGGTTTTGTTAGTATAATCTACTTTCTCTTCTTTTCTTTCCAGAATTCACCTTATCTTCTTATCCTTTTCCTTTTACAAGAGTTTCCAGAGCAGCTACTTTCCATACTTCCTCTTTTTAAGAAAAGTATGAACTTAAAGAGTTAATAAGATTCCCAAATTCCCAGCAACTAAGTTTTGTTTTTGTTAAGTTTCTTCTGCTCAACTGCATTTGCATTGTTCTGCAGATATTTTCCAAACAGCTTTCAATTAAAGCAACCAAGCAAATCCTTATTATTCAACAACACTTTTCCTCTTCTAGTCTCCGCAAAAAATAAAATTTAAAAACTGCTAAGCAGTACAGTTTATGTGTACAAAATGTAAAAGAAAAATGAAATTATGAGATTTCTTACAGGCCACCAGATACAGATCCTCTCCACTCCCCTTTACGTTTCTTTTTACATCTACATTTTCAACTGACAGCTCATCGCCATGTCGTGGAGCAGCCACAGAGCAGAAATGCTTTGTATTTTCTTAGTTTGGCACTTTTTCAGTTCTGGAGAAATGCAACCTCATTCCCAAATCCAGTTTGCTTGGTTTGGTAGTAGAAAGCTCGAGTAACATCAGGTGACTTGGTACTTCCTTAGTGCTTTTCTTCCCATCTTATGACATAGTTCTCCACATATAATGCACCAAAAGCTTGAGAGCAGTTATGTTGACTGTCTTAGCCTACATAACCTTGCATACAACTCAAAGACTACATGATGTACAAAAAAACAAGCAAACAAAAAAACAACACACACACAAAAAAAAACCACACCAACAAAAAACAATCAACAGTCACCTGTTTACCAGCCTAAACAAAATATTTTAGCTTGTTCCATAATGGATTTTGTATCACAATTGTTTTATTATTTTCCATTGGAAGAAAAATGGATATAAATTGAGTGGCAGAAAGAAAGGGTCTGCAGAAGAGAAGTTTCACACTATTTACTTCCTTCTGTCACACATCTGGAGATGTGCAGCAAGGCAGACAATCATTTCAGGAGACAGAGCGTTACTTTTTTTTGACAAGGAAAGCCTACTCCATACATCCTGCTGTACACACTGATCTACTGCTATTTTGCCACTTCAGTTTTATCCCATTGCAAATTTTGTCCAAAAAAACGAGCATAAAGTACTGTTTAATCAGCAAAACAATTATAGACTCATACTCTGAGTATCCAGCTCCGACAGCAGTGAACTACCAAAATTATCCCAGAAAACAAGGTCATTTTGATGCTTCACAGTTACAGAGGAAAACCCAGCTCCTGTACATTCACAGTAATATAGAATAAATGTCTTTGCTTAACCCCAAATGGGAACCAGCTTTATGCTAGAAAATGCAGTTGTGGTTCCAGTTCTAATCTGATGCCTGAGTAGTTTCATATTAACACAGTTGAACAGTTGCTTCCTTGAAACCTATAGGCGTGGAGTTTTCTGTTGGTGTTTTCTTTCCTTTTTCCTAGCAATTTCCAGTCTACTAAAACCAGAGGGAGAAGAAAAAGAAAACAAATTCTGATTGTTCTAGACCAGGAACTTTTATCTCCTTTTCTCCTAAATCCTCCCTAAGGTAGAAAAATAAGAATACTAAAACTACTCAAATATGCTCTTCTTCTCTAAGTCACATTCACTTTATGCTTTAAGTCATTACTGGGTATTTTTGGGTAGAAAAAAAAGATAATGAAAGCAAGACACAAATTTTGGCCTGATGTCACATTAAATCCAGCGTGACAATAATTTCCTTTATTTTCTATGATATTCTATTTAATACCTTAACAGTCCTACAGGCCTTCAGCACTTATCAAAGAAAATAGTTATAACAACCATGCTCACAACAAGCTGCTATTAACTTGCATATCTTTCAAGGCCACCATAAGTCACTGTATTTCAGATTAGACTAAAATAAAACAGTTCATTCGGAAGGGACCTTCAAAGGCCATCGAGTCCAACTGCTTGACTGCTCCAGGGCTAATCAAAAGTTAAATTAATGAGGGCATTGATACCCCAAGCCTATTCATGTTCTAATGTTTGATCACCCTCAAAGTAAAGAAACATTTCCTAATGCCTAGTCTGAGCCTCCCCTGCTTCAGATTTATGCTGTTCCCACCGCACCATCAGTTCCCAGCAGCACAGCCTGGCACCTTTCTCTGCTTTCCCTGCTCAGGGAGCTGCAGAGAGCAACAAGGTTACCTCTTGGTCTCCTCCAGATCAGAAGAAAACTATTTCAGAAGAAAACAGTCTTCTACAAAATCTCCGCATATGTACTGGATGGTGTTTATAACTGCATATGTTTGTTGTAACCTCCAGAACAACAATACCACAAAATTAAAAAGGATTAATTGGATTACAAAGCCTGTAAATACTTGCTACTGAAAGTGCACACATTCCAATTTTCAGCTAGCTATCAAATTCTGCATACAAAAATGACTCGTGAAAGGGAATTTGTGAGACACCCAAGGGATCAGCTATACCTTGTTTCCACCAGTGCCGTTTGAGAACATTGAGAGAATGGTAAATTTGAAAATTTGTCTTCAAGTAGCTATTCAGAATTGGTAGCAAAGTCAGAGAGAAGAAACGGTAAGGCAACAGACTTGACTCCTCTGGGTTTTCAAGCTCTGCGGCGTTACTTATTTCCCTTACTTACAGTTCTAAAGAGTGGGGAAGGACATGTATCTGCCTGCAGAGATGCCCCTTTATATAACAAAACTTCCTAGATAAGAACAAAGTGTTTAATTTCCATCCCACTTGAAGGAAGAAGCTGTAATTTTCATTTCCTCTTTCACTTGCTGGGAGCTGTAAGAGCTGAATAAATGCTTTCTGACCTATCTACTGTAAAAATGATGGTGACTGTTTTACCAATATATTAAAGTGTTTGCACTGTACATGAGTAACTTCAGATTTGTTCCACTACATATTCCAAAAATTTATGATTATGAACCTTTCTGATCCTGTGAGGAACCTGTTTTCACAAAGAAGAAAACTGCTGCCATGCACTAGTTGAGCAAAGCAAATTTTCAACAAGAGAATGAAAATCTTTCCATATTTACATTATTAAATGTGATTTTCAAGAGACTTCTATATGAATTCCGTAAGAATTTCCAGAGTGAATTTACTTTTAAAGTAGAATATGAAAATAGCTTTTAGCTCCTTCAAAAGCACTAATCATTCCTTTTCAGGGAAGGCCAGCAAGCTGCAAAGACTGACCCCAAATCTGATCTGCTAGCAGTGCCAGAAGTCCAGATAAATAAGACTACTGAGAAGATCAGCTGGGAAGAAGACACTCAGATACAACTACTTCAAAAAGGTATTCCCAAACTCTGCATCTGTACCCTGCTGCTGCCAAAATCATCCTGTGAGTTAGGCACTTATGTCCCTAATGACAGGATGCTTCTTGCCAGGAGTACTGAAGATCGATGGTTTACTTATGCTCTAACAGCACATTTACAAGGGTAC